CACAGCAGTGGTTTAGGGTTTAGGGGTTTTGGGGTTTTGGGTTTAGGGTTTTGGATTTTGAGGTTTTGGGTTCCACGCCGCTATACAATTCCGATCCCATGTAACCCCCAAATGTGATCCTCACATTTGCTTTTGAAAAAAGGCGACTTATTTTGCCTGATCCCTAGTAACCCTTACGTACTCCCCTTATAACTCCCACAAAAACCATGTATAAGCCCAATATGATCCCTTATTGTAGTTCTCATGTTCTTTCCCCACTTCCCCTCAAGCACCGGCAAGGTGCGCACCCCCCTAAATGCTGAACCCTTACCCCTAAACCCTGAACCCTCATCCCTCAACCCTAATCCCTACACGCTAGACCCTAAACCCTAATGCCTACAGTAAACCGTAAAGAACCCTAAACCCTAATCCCTCAACCCTAAACCCTAATCCCTAAACCCTAAACCCTAATCCCTAAACCCTCAGCCCTTAGACCCTAATCCCTAAACCCTAAACCCTAAATAGTAGCTTTCTTTCCCAGTATCCCTCAATCACCCCCGAATGGGACCCTGATTGTGGGGACTGCCATGCCATCCTGACTCTTTGTGAGCAGGGAGAGCTTGCCGCCCTGCAGGCATCAACTGGGTTGCTGTTAAAGAACTTAAATTAAGTTACTATATTGGGGAAACCCTATTATTTACTATATATATATATATATACCCATTATGGTAACCCTAAACCCTAAAGCCTAAACCCTATATGCCAATTATGGTAACTTAATTTAAGTTCTTTAACAGCAACCCAGTCAAGGCGCTTCTTCATCAACGCTTGGGATGAAGCCGAGTTTCCATCAATCAGGGGGTCCCTGTGTTTGGGGGGTCCCTAATGTAAGGGTCTAGGGTTTGAGGTTTAGGGTTTAAGGTTTAGGGTCTAGATCCCTGATTAACACACCCCCTGCTTGTAAGAGCCTGAATACTCGGATCCCTATGGCATATTCTCATTAAGGGGAGGGGTCTGCATTACAATAAGGATTATACTATTCTGGGATCTATGTTGGGCCCCCTGGTTTTGGAAACCCGCGTTGAGTAAGGCTGCGGCGCTCACCGCCGACAGTTGGGCAAGCACTACCTGCGCGGCATCAACCCCAAACCCTGAACCCAAAAACCCCGAAACCCTCAACCCAAAACCCTGAAGCCTAAACGCATAAACCCCGAAACCCTCAACCCAAAACCCTAAATTCAAAAACCCTCAACCCATAAACCCTAAACACAAAAAACACCGAAACCCTGAACCAAAACTCATAAACCCCTAAACCCTGAACTCAAGAACCCAGAAACCCTCAACCCAAAACCCTAAACGCAGAACCCAAAACCCCCTCAACCCTCAACTCATAAGCCCTAAACCCTAAACCCAAAAACCCAGAAACCCTCAACCCAAAACCCTAAACGCAGAACCCAAAACCCCCTCAACCCTCAACTCAGAAGCCCTCAACCCTGAACCCAAAAAAAAAACGAAACCCTTAACCCATAAACCCCTAAGCCCTAGCAACAAGGCCCGCGCTTGCGGCTCATGCGTGCAGCCATGCTCAGGCCTCGGGAAGGCTTCGCTGAAGGCTCGAATGAGTAGGGTTTAGGGTTTAGGGTTTAGGGTTAACCCTCCACAGGAACTCACGGGTTATACAGGGTTTAGGGTTTAGGGATAGTGGAAAATAAGTTATGGAAGCTACTATATTGTATAGGTTTATATGGGGATTATGTAGAGGGCTTTGTAGGGGCAATGGAAAAGAAAATGGACACTACTATTTCATAGGGTCATATAGGGGTTAGGAAGGGATACATGGGGATAATGGAAAAGAAAACGGACGCTACTATTTAGGGCTCAGGGTTTAGGACCACAAATTTTGGGGTTTAGGGTTTAAGGGTTAGGGTTTAAGGGTTAGGGGTGTTACCTCAAAAATGGAGAATCACATGCAAAAACAAATGGAAATGAAATGGAAGCTACTAACTATATGTATATATATAGCAAGTTATTTAGGGATCATATCGTAGTTTCCCTAAATGGGAGGGACCCCAAAATAAACCCTAATCCTTCTTGCAAGGACGCCCAAGAATGCACCGCTAGTTTTGGGAAACCCCCAACTCTACCTGAGGCATAAGCAGGCGCGCTGCCAGCCAGGCTGTCGCCTTCGCCACAGAACAGTGCCTTGCTTTGACAGCTGCCCTAAACCCTAAACCCTAAACCGTAAACCTTAGCCCGCACAGTAGAGAATGAAGAGCTGCTGAGGCTCCTGCAAGGAACCACCAAATGACAGTGATTCGATGAAAGCTTCATCCCTGCAGTATGGGTGGTTGTCAAAATTAGGGTTATATTGGGGTTATATGGGGGATCATGGAAAATAAAATGGAAACTACTATAGTATATTGGGGTTATATTTGGGTAGTTGTCAAAATGATGGTCCCTTTTTGGATCCTTATTATAATACGGCACCTAATATTTAGGGTACCCGAAATGGGACCATAATTTTGACCACCACCCATATGCCAAAGTGCAGCTCAGAAAATCATGATGGCTTGGGTGGACCCCCCACCCAGTAGTAGTAACCACAACGGATAATAACGGTTGAGTTAAAGTCTTTTGATATTCCTGCTATATCACAGGGTGGGGCGTCTACCCAAATCATGGCTCACAAACACCCAACTCATGCCCAAAGCAACGCTTGGCACCGCACTCCAAGACAGCCTTGGGCTGACTTTTTGAGGGGGGTTGCTTGTTTAGGCTTCAGGGTTGAGGCTTCAAGGTTTAGGGTTTAGGCTTTAGGGTTTAGGGTCCAAGGTCCAGGGCTTAGGCCTTAGGGTTTAGGGTCTAAGGTCCAGGGCTTAGGGTTAAGGCTTTCGGGTGTAAGCTTTAGGGTTTGGGATCTCCAGGCAGACATGAACATGTTCTATCCCGCCAAGCGCAGCACATCACTCAACAGCCTTGTCTCGGGCAGAGCCTTTGACCAAGCTTCAAAGCGAAGAAGAAAGGCACATGAGCCATTGTCTAAACTCCTAGTATCCCCCTTAATAACCCCTATGGTAGTCCCCTATAGAATCCCAGATATAACCCACCTTCATGGAATTTAAACTATAGCTCACATAACACGGGCCTGCAGGTCTGGCGCCACCCACTCCTGGCAAACTTGCCACACGTCTCATTGATAGGTTTAGAACGAAACACTAGTGTGATGTAGCAGAATCAATAGATTTAACCTTAGGCTGTTACGCGGTGATAACTTGGCTGCTTCCTGACCTACAACCTCTTTGAAACCAGTGTCCAGCTCAGCTTCCATTTCCACATCATTATTTTGGATATTTCACAAAACCACATATAATCTCAAAACAACCTCTGCATAACTCCACCCTAAGCCCTAAATCCCAAACCTAAATCCTAAGCCCT